GCAGCTACCCAGCGCTGAAACTCCCTCATGTGTAAGCGTCCCAGTCGTACCACCAGAATGGCTGACGCCATGAGCCCCAGCGACCGCAGACATGATCTGAAGAGAACATATTTGCGTGGCTGGAAATGAGCGAGGCAAGCCCTGAAGGCTTTCACTCTCTCTGCTGACAAGCAGGCTGTAAAGGGCACCGAATTCAGGCGTAGGCCCAGGAAGAGTACAGTCTGGGCTGGAGACAACATGCTCTTTTCTGTGTTTATTACAAAACCCAGGTCGAGCAGGTGTTTTACGAGGACATTCGTCTGCGTAATAGCCTCTTGCTCCGACTGTGCGAGAAGGAGCCAATCGTCCAGATAAGTTGCCAGGCGAATACCCTGTTGTCTTAACGGGGCTATCGCGGCTTCCGTACACCGTACAAACACTCGCGGGCTGAGAGACAAACCGAAGGGAAGTACTCTGTACTCGTAACAGACACCCTGAAAGGCGAACCTCAGATATTTCCTGTGTGGGTAATATACTGGGATGTGGAAATACGCATCTTTCAGGTCGACTGATGTGAACCAGTCGTTTTGGCGCACGAGACGCAACAGAGATGTGTGAGTGAGCATTCTGAATTTGTATCTTTTGAGATATTTGTTCAGAGCTCTCAAATCTAGTATAGGCCGAATTCCGTTCCCTCCCCGTTTGGGAACGAGGAAATACTTTGAATAAAAGCCGTTCTGACTCTGTTCGGCGGGTATTATTGATATAGCCTTCTTTTCTAGCAGCGAGAAAATCTCTTGCTCTAGAATATGGGCCGACTCTCCCCGGGCCTGTGAATACAGAATGCCCGAGAAGTGAGGGGGGGTGACAGCAAATTGGAGCCTGTAGCCCCGTGTTACTGTCTTGAAAACCCAAGCAGAATCTGTGAGCATCCTCCACTTGTCGCTTCTCAAAGCGAGCGGAGATGTCACAGCTATGTCGTCTGCCCTCAGTGTCTCTATTTGTTGTGTTATGGGGCCCTCTAGTGTCTGAACACGGTAGTACCCCAGGTTGACAACCCCGGGCGACACTGCGCATGCGCGTGGCGGTGGTGCCTTCACAATCCCGTCTATTGTCCGCCTTTTGAGAGAGGCCGTAGCCGCTCTCAAAAGAGGGGCAGACGACAGACTGTTTATTGTTTTTTATTGTTTTTCTTTTGCCCTTGGCTTCAAGCCTGGAAACGACAGTGGAAAATTATTTATTTTGAAACAACAATGATGACATGTGTTTGTGTGACTTAAACAGGCAGCGGAACTTGCGGTCTTTGATGTTAAGTCCATTTCCCTGATGGCGCGAACTTGAGGATGACGTTCTGACATCACTCGAGGCGGCGGGAAGATGGGGGCATGGTGGCACCCCGAAAACACATGAGCATCCAACACTGGAACGTGCTCTGGAGCTGGGGAACAGGGAACTTCCAGCTCCTTCATCGAGGAGAGGAGAGGAGGCTGTCAGGCCGCCCGCTTCTTCTTCCTCGCCTGGTGGCTGAAAACCTGGGTCGGCTGCGCCTGAGCGGCAGCTGCCGGGACCGGAGATTTTCTTGGCCAGCTCCCTCTTACCTCGTGCCTGGGCTGGGGACCCGGGACGGGCTGCGGTCTCTGCTGCTTCGGTATTTTGAACCGGGCAGGACGTGAGACAGCTTGGGTGAAGGCCTGCCGCGGGACCATTGGAGGTGGCGGCTGGACCCTTCGGGGGAGACAGAGCTGGAGAGCCTCGTCTCCCTTCCTTTTTGACTCGCACCTCAGCTGCATTGAAGCTAGAGCGGAGCAAAATATGCCCTCGGGAACAATAGGCATGTCCAGAACATCCTCTTTTTCCCGGTCTGGAAGGTTGGTCAGGTTGAGCCACCTGGCTCTCTCCTGTACCACCATCATTCCCAGCACTTTGCCCGTGGCTTGGACTGCACAGTGCTGCACACGGAGGCAAATGTCCGTGATCGCTGCGATCTCGTCCCACACGGCAGGCTCAGGTCTGCTCGACATGTCCTCGCAAAGCTCCGCCTGGTAGGCGGTCAGCAGCGAGGAGACGTTGAGAGCCCTGGCGGACAAAGCTGCGGCTTTATAGGCCTGTTCGGTCATCACTGACTGGAACCGGTCTGCCTTTGCCGGTAGCATGGGGTTCCTGCTTGGTGTTGAAGCCAGCCTCGGTTGGAGGTGGGCTGCCACCAGCGGTTCCATGGGCGGCATACGGAGCAGGCCGAGTCTCTCCATACCGTCACAGTCCAGGGAGGAGGCACCCTGGATTGGGGCCTTGTTGCTGAAGGGACGGTCTCTCCACGAGACCGACACCTCGTCCAGCATATCCGGAAAGACTGGAACGAGCTGCCTCTTCGTCCTCGCTGCTTTGGGCAAGTTCTTCCCCTCGTAGCGAGATCTGGAGGTTTCCTTGGCCACTTCAGGCCATGGGATGTCCAGCCTGGATGCAGCGCGGTGACACACGGCCTGCAAGTCCATGCTTAGGACGGGCGAAGCTGGTGTGCTCTCGCCCGGGGGAGCGGACATCGCTCCCGGCTTCGCAGCCTGAGCCGATGAAACGAAGATGTCATCTCCATCCGAGTCAGACAGGAGGAACTCAGAGGTATCCTCTTCGTCCTCCATGTAGTCCAACTCCAGGACATCCTCCGCGGGTGGAACCATGGTGAGGTCCAATTGGGAGCCCCAGCTTGACACAGCGCGGGGCTCCGCTCTCGCGGCTCTTGCCGCCACCGGGTCCCAGCCTGAAACGGCGTGGGGCTCCGGTTCAGCGGCTGTCGCTGTTGTTGAGCCCCAGTCTGACACAGCGCAGGGCTCAATCTCTGCGGCGGACGCCACCATGTCTTGATTGCCGGACGGCGAATCAGCGGACATGAGGGGGTCCTGTCCCGACAAGCTAGCTTGGCGTGCTAACCGTCGGCGGAGGTTCTTCATGGTGAAGCGGGTACAATGCCCGCACGAGCCGGGGTTATCGATAGCCTCCCGGGCGTGTTCCAGCCCGAGCAGACCCGGTGTGAGTCTGTGCCTGAAATGTTAAACCTGCAGCCGCATAGCCGAGCCTCCGAGTCCCTGACTCCTCTGGTGTGAGGGAGAGAAGGGTCCATCTTCGATCGCCGGGGTGTCGGCGTGGAGTGGACACGCTAGTAACAGGTACGTTACTGAGAAAAAATCCAACCTTGCCGTTAGTCCGAAAGGAAAAAATGCGACTGTGTAGATTTTATTCTTTAAAGAATATTAACTGGTGTGTTAATACCTTTTTTTATCTCTGTCTCCTCTGGTGTGAGAGATAAAAGAGAACGTCCTCTTTACCGTGGTGTCGGTGTGGAGGGAAGAACAAACTAGCAACAGGTATGTTACTAGCTTGAAGAAAAAAATCAAACCTTACCGTTATTTCGACAGAAAGAACGGCGAGGCAGATTACAATATTAACTGGTGTGTTAATATTGCTCAATCTTCTTGCAAAGCAAAAAAGTAACCGGCAAGCGCCCGTCGACCGAATGTTAGCTTTGGGTTCAGTCTGTGGACCGTTAAGCTAGCCCGGTTACTGATAAATCGAGATGTGCTCTGAATCGAGAAGAGGTGTTTGAATGACGCTGCGTCGTAGCGCAAGCTACTTAAAGGGTGGGTGGATTCCCTGACGTTGACGTCAAGATCACCAGCCAATCAGAATTGGCGTAATGAGATTGATGCTTCCGTTTGCATACGCGTTGAGGCGCATCCCATAGTGAGACATCGAACGGAGTGTTATGAATGAGAACTGATGTAATGGTTTTTGGAGCCAAGGCAGAACGTTCGAACAAAGTTAGCGCTGAGCTTCAGTCTGCAATGTTCAAAACAACAGATGGAGCTTTCTTTGAATGGTTTAGGCCCAAAATACATTTCGGACCTACTGCTAAATTATGAACCATCGAGAACTCTCAGGTCTTCTGGGACTGGTCAACTTTCTGTCCCCAGAGTCAGAACTAAACATGGAGAAGCAGCGTTCAGTTATTATGCTCCAAATATCTGGAACAAACTCCCAGAAACCTGCAGGTCTGCTGCAACTCTTACTACTTTTACATCCAGACTGAAGATGTTTATTTTTGCTGCTGCTTTTAATTGAACTACTCATATCTTAAACTGCACTGTAACTTTTATTCATGTATTTTTCCTTTTAATGTTTATTTTATTATCTTTGCTTTTTAAGGACTGCTTTTAAATGCCATTTTCTTAATGCCTTTCATTTTTGGAAAGCACTTTGAATTGGCTTGTGTTGAAAGGTGCTATATAAATAAACTTGCCTTACCAAAAATATCACTGCTTATCTGATTGATTAAAATCAATCCTGATGATTATCCGGCCAGTGTGTCATGGTCAGTCCCCAGGAACTCTTTCCAGAGCTTCACTTTCAGTTCCTCTCCAACAGATAGGTTTCCATATTACCAGGCGTTAATTATTCATCTATGCTCGCTTGGTGCCTCATTGGAAAATAAAACAAATCCTTTGGACCAATGATACAGAATAGTGCCGCGACCTCTCCAATGAACCCTCTTGTATTGTCCATTTGTCTCCTACTGCTGGTAGAGTGAAATTGGAGCCGAGGTGGAGATTATTTCTTGATGTGTAAAACTTGTCTCTTGCACAGCACAAGTCCATACACAGCAGGCTCAGTGGTGTGTGTGCAATGCTGGATGAGCTATGTACAGTCCCTTTGTATTGTGCAAAATGATATCTCCGCAGTGTAACGTCTCTATTACAGCAGGAAGAGATTGTCTTACCCTTTGGATTTGCTTCACAGAACACAACAAATGAGCTTGAGCTGCTGGCTATGGACCGCAAGTGTCTATTCCAACGACGAGAGAAGAAATGAGGTGTGCCATAAGACAGAAACTATAATAATTTTGTGATAATCTAAATCTAACTGATACTCATAACAAATGATACATTTTACAAAATCCCAGTGAGGTCTCTGTTACTGCTCTGGAAAATGTTATTCAGAATTCCAGATAGACAATACAAACCACAAATCTGCTACATACTATAATAATTGTTTATTTAGATGCATCCATTTCACAAAATATACAGAAGATATGTCTTTAACAAAATCAACAGGTGCCTATGTCAGTTTTCTTTTTGCATTTTGTCTAAGCCCTTTGAAAAGTTCAGTATGCCCTGTAGATGTGGACAATTAAAAAGTTCAGGAAGCACTCTGGATTGTTTTGAAAGTGACTTAGTCTCTGTCATGGAAGGATGTGGGACAAGCACACAAACGAGTTAAGACAAAGAAAATTATTAAATAATTTATCAAAATTAAGCATGTTTGCATTTTGGGGATGATTTGGTTTCACAACTGCTGAAGACATTGTGATCAATTTGTACATAATGAGATTTAACAACAGAAGCAGGGAAAGTTGACATTAAACAATTGTATAAAATCAATTTCTACATAGAAATAAGAGCATGAGTTTATTTAATTATGGTCGGCAATAGTTTTATACATTATATACAGGTAATTATGCAAGATCACAGTAATGCCTTCAAATTACTTTCACATTTATTATACAATTCAAGAATCCCACCAAAATGAAGGAAATATTAGGAATAAAAAGTCTCCTTTTAAAAATAGGAACTGTGTTCACACATTGTACACACAATGTTTTATGTTTTATTATTAAAGGAAAATAACCACCATTTCCTTTTCATTTACCTTCCAGTGTAAACGCAGACACATCAGTCTCGTCTCGTGCCCTAGGAGGCTGGTAATACTGCTGAGTGGGTCTTGTGCGACGAGGCTGTCCGTCTCCCCCTGGGCGAAATTCGAGTGAACTGTCGTAGTAACCATCATCTTCCTCCTGCCATTGGACATTTGATATGGTTGTGATGTTACTGTGGGTAATCAGATTAAGATGTCATTCATATTTCATCTTTGCTCAACCCACTTGAGTACAGTTTAATTTGTTGCTTCCATTTAGTATTAAGCAACACATTACGGTCTTAATGATAATTGATACATTCTATCAAGTAGTTTTGCTTCTCCTTACCAATGCATCAGCAGGAAGCGGTTTGATGTTATGCAGCTCGATCTCTTCCCAGTTTCCATATTCACTAAACACAACCACAGCCGTGGTGCCTGACGGATGCACAGCATCTATTCTGGCATGGTAGAACTTCAATGCCATGCACACAGATCACAGACAGAAACAAATAGAAATGTTAGAATTTTAACACCGACATGTTCACATGTCAAGACAAGAGACATGTCAATTAGGTAATGACAACTTGACGAAATAATTAACAATCACACTATTTCTTGGCATGTTAACTGTCGAACATCTTTCAGACAAAAATAAAAAACACATCAGTCCAACACATTAGTTATTTATCACTTCTAGTAGTAACTGTTGACCATTAACATGCAAGAACAGGGTTATATGTGTATGGATTTAATTTCAGTGAGCATTTTCTAACATGTCAAAGTAAGTTGAATTGTTTCAACAATGATCTGCTATTATTTTGTTAACAATTCAGAAATGACATACCTTGCCATCCTCCCAGTACAGAGCCAGGCACTGGTCTCCAGATTTCCAGACCTGATCCACAAAATGACTTTTCTCTGATCCGCGAGGACTTTGACCTTTGCCTTGTCCTTGCCTTTTCTTATTAGGTCCTGGGTTATTCAAAACGCTTTTCTTGGGGGGCGGTTCCCTGTTGGGGGGGGGCTCCCTGTTGGGGGGGACTAATGAAATTAATGGCTTTATTGGCCCAGTTCTTTTGTGTTCCATGTCTCCATTTTGGAAATGAGAAGGATCCCCTGTCACGATTTGACAATCCCGCTTTAAGCCCACTTCTTGGGATGACCCTGAGCTCCCTCCCCTCAGGTTGAGGTTAGGTGGCCCACTGTCCCTTTGTCGGTCAAAGTGGTCTGTGTTTGGCCGCTCAGTCTTGCCTTTCCTCCTGTTGTTGTGGTTTGGTTCTTCAAATCTGTCTGTGCGTTTATTATTTCCTCTTCCATCTGGCTCACTACCTGCAGAATCAGACAGTTTAGATGTGGGTGCGTTGTCTCTAACACCTCTCCCTTTAGGCGGTCCAGACATATTCCCACCGCCACCACCATCTCCATTCCTCGATCGTTGGTGGGAAGATCCACTAAACTCCATCTGCTGCTGAGGTTCTTTTGGATGTGGGAAAGTAGCCGAGAAAGATGAAGGATATGTTTTCTCATCTCTCATCTCTCTCCTGTCGTTATGCGATCTGTCTGTTGTGCCTCGGGACCATCTCTCCTGGCCCTTCCACTGCTGGGCCTGAGCCGATGTTTGTGAGGTTGTAGAGCTAGAGATAGGCTCCTGGCCAGGTTTTGGAAAATCAACGTCCCTGTGGAAGCGAGGCGGTCTGTCATTCCTTTGTTGCCTATGGTCATTATGCGAGGAGAACTTGTTCTGAGATGTGTCTTTGGAGTAATAGTCCGAGTTGGAGAAACTCGCTCTACCATCATAGTGTTTCTGAGGAGCCTGGCTTTTTGATTCTGAGAAAAAAAACACAACATGAAGAACAGTGGCATCAAAAACTATGGTAATAGTGGACCAAATAATACATGGATCATTGTAGGGCTGCACCCGAATATCCGAATATTCGTTCGTTGGCGTACTATTCGGGTTTCATTTTCGTTATTCGTATTTTTTTCGAAAATTGAATTTTTTTTAAATCTCCAATGTCAACGTAAGAGCTTGTGCCTCTTCGGGGGGTGCTAACACTTAACCATAAACGTTATCGTTCACTTTCTCCGTCTTTTTATGTAGATTGACTTTTCTCCGTCACGTTGTTTCCATAGCAACAACATCTTCCCGTCAACAACGCTAACTCTCCTTCAAAATAAAAGCATGTCCATAAAAAATAGGAAGCCAAGCCAAATTACACTTAAGACATATGTGACCTGCTCTATCGAAATCAGTCGCATTGACCCGAAGACACATTTTGAGTTGTATACACTGCTGGAAAGAGGAGATTCCTTGTTTTCTAATAATATCAGGATTGTTTTTGTACTCCAAATATTAAGCAAAATATGTCACATTATATAATGACTGTCACCGAGTCATCATTTTGAGAAAAAGGCCTTTAAAGTTTCCTCTTCTCTGGAATCCATCGATCTGATTGATTATTAGCGGAGCAAATTATCAAAATACTACGGAGGGAAGATATTTTCGTTTGGATTACTGGTCTGGGGGAATCTCGCGAGTGTGTGTGTATACATGTGTGTGTTTGTGTAATTTTGCGTTTGTGTGTATTGCGTTTGTTTCCCGGGGAAAACCCTCACGAGAAACACCGGCTGTTGTTATGCCTGCTGTGACGTTAAGTTACTCCGTTCTCCGCTTGTAATTATGCCGTTACAAGCTTCAAAGTTGTATTTATCATCTGAATTTGCCGAAACAAGTTTAATATTCTGAAAGCCAAGACTTTGTTTAATTGAAATCAAATGAAAACAAACTGTAACGGACCCTGCCGTGTTATTTATGATTACTCTACGCTTACATTCATAATGTCAGCCGGAGGGAGGGGGGGCGGCGCTGCGGAAGAGCAGATTGCCTGTCATCTTCCCTTTACAAGCTTAAAGAATGTATTTATCGTGTGAGTTTGGAAATAAAAGTTTCATATTCTGAAAGCCAAGACTTTGTTTGTTTAAAATCAAACAAAACACCCAAACCCCGAAAAAATAGTTTTTTACGCAAATCCACGTATATTTTGAAATGAGCCGTTGCGACTTCCGACTGATTTCGATAGAGCGGGTCACATATATACAACTGCAACGAAAGTAACAAACACAATGCAATATCCTTTTCAATTTCAAAGAACACAAATTGGGTTATATACATTAACAAATAACTATAAGACAACAATACTGTAGAATAACAAAATGAATGCCGCGAATAAAACCGAAATACACGTGTTGAAGCAGTTCGCTACTGATTACTACGCACCCTCCCCGCGCGGGCCGAATATCCGAATATTCGCTGCTGATTACTACCGAATATCCGGAGCCCGAAAAATGGTATTCGGGACAGCCCTAGATCATTGACACGTTACCATGATCCACACACAGTTATGCAATCAGGATTAAACATCAGTGGTAAATAAAACAACCATAAAATCATAAATGGAATACCAAATCATATCATCCATGGACGAACACAATTATTAAATAAAAAGCATATAAAAAATATTCACTTCCTCTGCGTTTTCCACGGCAGCAGTGAGTTCATGCATTAAGAAAACATGACTGTATTCCCTTCAGCTCACAGTAGCCAGATGCATGACTACCAATAGGGACTTTGCCCGTGGTGGGGAACTGTTGTTATGAGTACTTTCTTACTGAAGAACTGGATGGGAAAATATTATTAAAATATTCATGAAATGTGTTTCATACATCAAGTACCAAAGTAGTTGAATCCAGACTATTTAGCTTACCATCAATGGAGAAAACTCCCATTTTGGATTCAAGAAAGTCAAAAAGAGTGCTTGGACCTGATGGCCTTCCCCCTGGTCCCTCCTCTTCATCTTCATTTCTAGACCTGCCTCTTCCCCTTCCTCTTCCTGAGAAGAACACAAAAAGAAGAACATGCAAACCCAAATAAGAACAGTTGGAATGATGAAACTGGACGTTTAAATGTAGATACCTTCTGGTCCCAAGTGTCTACATTTAAAGTAGTTATAGCGGGCTCTGTCTGCATACATATGTGTGTCTGAAGAAAAACTACAGGAACATATAAACACTCCTTCAAGTTTCTCTAGAGGGAATTCAGAACAAATCCATATTTGAGGGATTGCCTCCAAACGGCTCTCAACATGATGATGGCTGAGCCAGCGGCTAGCAGCTAATGGCGCATTTCCACCATGGCGCGGAGCGCGGTTTAAGCGTGCCGGGCCCGTTTTTGGTTGCTTTTCCACTAGGCCTAGTTCTTACGGTGGCCCTGAAGTGCAAGACACCAAAGCATTTCACAAAACACAACAGCATTTCAGAAAACACAACAGCATTTCAGAAAACACCACAGCATTTCAGAAAACATCACAGCATTTCAGAAAACACTACAGCATTTCAGAAAACACAACAGCATTTCAGAAAACACAACAGCATTTCAGAAAACACCACAGCATTTCAGAAAACATCACAGCATTTCAGAAAACACTACAGCATTTCAGAAAACACCACAGCATTTCAGAAAACACTACAGCATTTCAGAAAACACCACAGCATTTCAGAAAACACAACAGCATTTCAGAAAACGCCGCAGCATTTCAGAAAACACCACAGCATTTCAGAAAACACCACAGTATTTCAGAAAACACAACAGCATTTCAGAAAACACCGCAGCATTTCAGAAAACACCGCAGCATTTCAGAAAACACCACACCATTTCACATTGGACGGAAAGGGTATTCCTTTAGGGAGAACACTTCTTGTTTATGATTGGACAGAGCCAGCCAGAGAAGCACTGCTGTGATTGGTTGTTTTTGCTGCCAGTCAATAAATGACGCTTCGTGATTGTTCAACGCCCCACAGTTAGCACACACTCAGAGCTCACAGCTCCTCATATCTGTTCAGAAACTGGACAAAAGTTAAACATGTACAAACCAGGGTTTCCGCTAGGATTTTTTCTCGCCGGTCAAATGTCCGAACAGAATTTATTTTACCGGACAAATTTGAAACTTACCGGTCATGTTTCAATAATAAGAATTGTGTAGCAGAGTTTCCGTTAGCAGGTAATTACCGGACTATGAACGGATATGCTGAGGTTTCAAACTCAGTTAATGGGAGTCATTTTTATATTGCTTCAGTTTATAATCGTAACAGATTGAAAAATTCAGATTCATATTTCAATAAATGATTCCACAAACAACAAACAACATCATTATTACATTCAAATAAACTACTTGTAGTAGATGAAGTACATTATTCAAAAGTTTACATTAACTTTGAAGAATAACACGGGAGAAACGGATCCTCTCTTTTCCCCTCTCTCCTGACAGCCCGTCAGTTTCTCATGCAGCGCACTAAACAGTGGGCGGGGCTTCAGGTGATTATGGAGCAGCTGATCTGATCTCTCTCTCGCGTCCGGTTATACTTCACTCGCGTTTATGTCCATATCGATCAGATCCAGCTCTCCTGATCGGCCTTTATAGAGAGCACCGATCAAACTATTAAGAGTGAATATCGGCCGATAATGATCGGCGGGCAATCGATCGGAGCATCGGACATTTTGACCGGCAAGTTTTGAATTTACCGGTTTTTATTAAATTTTACCAGCTAAAAACCGGTAATTACCGGCTAACGGAAACCCTGGTACAAACCACAGACATGTCTATGTCATGGCGAATACAGTCGCTGCTTTATTTATGTCTGTATGACGTTGTTGTGAGTGTCACTCACAACAACGTCATACAGCTGTGAGCTCTGAGTGTGTGCTAACGGCTGATGTGTTGGGACCGGTTGGGACATATTGCGCTGTCGGGCGTTGACCAATCACGAAGCGTCATTTCTTGACTGGCAGCAAAGACTGTCCAATCATAAACAAGAAGTGTTCTCCCTAAAGGAATACCCTTTCCGTCCAATGTGAAATGCTGTGGTGTTTTGTGAAATGCTGTTGTGTTTTGTGAAATGCTGTGGTGTCTTGCACTTCAGGGCCACTGTAAGTTCTGGCCCGGGGCTACTTTTTCACCTTTTTTCTGGCCCGACAAAATCGTGGTTCTATCGGGCCCGGGCTGAATATGCTAAACTAGTGAGAGAATCGCTGGCAAGGGGGATACAACTACAACAAGATGAACATATTTGACCGTGATTTAATTGTAATACACGTTTCAAAATGATGCCGAAGTAAGAACGTACTGATACCGGTTAGTAAAAACCATGAATTAATGCTTTGACAAGTCTGCAGACAGACGGCAGATGAAAAACCTTTTAAAATGCGTGTTGTCTAAATGGAGATCGACTAAGCTAACGACTGTCCACACTCAACAAACGGCCTATTCAGACATAAATAAACCAGCGACTGTATTCGCCATGACACAGACAGTCTGTGGTTTGTACTTGTTTAACTTTTGTCTAGTTTCTGAACAGATATGAGGAGCTGTTAGCTTGAGTGCTAACAGCTAACGGCTGATGTTGTTTTTCTGAAGATGACGTCACGGCTCCGCCTACATTGCCTTACTATAGATACTACCCCAGTTCCTAAACTGTAATGGAAGTGCAGCATTAAAGTAAGCCGGGCCTAACAAGGCCTAACAAAACCGTACTAAGTCGAGCGAGGCCTGCGGTGGAAATGCGCCAAAAGAGTGCTAACAGAGCGAACAATGCAAAGGCAACAGAGCTGACAGAGTTAAACTAGGGGCAAAATACAACATTTTACATTTCCGAGACAATGCTGTGTATCATGATTGGTGTATTTTGGGGGTAAGCAGTGTATGTGCGGAATGCAGAAACAGAGATAAGCCAGTGTTGCAAACCAACAGTGAATCACATGAAACACAGAGGGAGAGCGCCTTTATTGTCTGCTTAGGATGACATTACTCCCTAATGTATTTACAGAGCAAATTGTAGTTTCCCGCTTTATTAATTCTCTGAATACCGTATATAATTTTAAAAAAAAGTTCAGTGTGGAGAAGTTAATGTTCTGTAGCCGACTCAAATAGATGATGTATAAAGCAACAATGGAAAAAACGTCCCTGTGCTAAACGAGGTTGGGGAGGGGGGGGGGGGGAGCAGTAGTTAATTCAGTGTGACAAAATATGTTCCAAGTTACTGCAAGTTGATTTTCCGAACGGGAACAAATACAAAACAATGACTGCCAGTTTAGTAGAATATCCATCTTAAATATGACAGTTTGCCTGGGAAAATAGTCAGTTGCAATTTTCTCGCCCTTAATCTTTAGAAACATAAAAGTGCTTTAGGCTATGTGGCATATTCTCAAAGCAAGATTTTAAAACACAGCAGGTGTGCGTGTGTGTCGAGTGTACCTCTGGGTGGGGGCCTGATAGGTTCATCTACCACTGGGCTAGTTCTGGCCTCAAAAGTTCCTGTCAGTAGGCTATTTAGTGCCACTTCCAGGTTGTTGTTGTTATCCATTAGCGCCAGCCGAGCATCCTGCATGTTAAAGCCCATCTCCATGATGTCTCTCAGAGCACGTTCATCCACCTACACAAAAGGTGGATAACATTACATTAGGGAGAAGAAAAACAAAGGTTGCAGAGAGAGAAAAATACCTGTGGATGGATATTGGTTTGGTAAGTAATATTAGACTCATATGTAAGGTTTGTTGTGACAGAGAACCCTCCCTTTTAAGAGGACATCTAGGTTGGATTCGTGGGCATTCAAGTTACAAACTATCATTACAAGATCCCAGTGTTTCCCATACATTGATTTATTTGTGGCGGGCCGCCACAATTAAATATCGTCCGCCACAAATGGATCTCATAAATGGATAGTGAGGAGGGCTGATGATCGGAAGGTTGTGAGTTCAAATCCCGCCTGGAACACCACTACTAGTATGCCCTGAGAATGTCCCTGTGATTGGTCATTGAAAGTCGCTTTGGAATAAGGCGTCTGCTAAATGCCTAAATTTTAAATTGTAAATCATATTTTTGGGAGAATAAACCCCACAGATCCTCAACTCCGGTGTGTGTCACTCATTAACAACGCAACACAGAGTAGACCCTCCAGAAAAACGCGATTCTGCGATCGCAGAATTGACCGCATAATCAGCAAAATGGCGCAGATTTTTAAAAGGCCACATATTTATCAAAAGGCCGCATAATCCCCGCATTTTTCCACACAAAGTTGAGAAAAAAAAGTGAACTCGTCTTGACGTGAAGTGATGATGATGATGACGCGACGTCATCAGCTCGCGCATCACAGAAGGTAAACAACACCGTAGAGTGAACGTGTGGAACTCACACGAGAGAGAAAACACCAAGATGAAAAAATCTAATCCATCTCATTTACCGACGAACATTTCTGCTAAAGACCGGGCAATGCAGTACCCCGATGTCTTGCACGAAAGTGGGGGGAAACTATTCTGCACCCCGTGCAACTGTGTGTTGGAGCATAAGAGAACATCGACGGTGACGACCCACTTTGATTCATTCAAACATTCGAAAATGCTTTCTGCTGCTGCGGACAAGAAAGCCAAACAACTCACGTTCACCGAGGCATCAACCTCCAAAACCCTTTCGAGGGCTACAAGAAACGAGGTGAGAAGCCTACAAGATTGAAGCTGGTCAGATAACGAACATGAAATGAAATGAAAACAGAATGAGGCGGAGAAGTGTGTGTGTGTGCGTGAGAGAGAGAGAGTGTGATTAAATTAGCCCAATTGCTTTTACAATAAATAAACATTGAATGTGTTTAATTGTATAGTAAAGGGGTTTAACGTTAACGGCAGGTTGTGTGTGAGAGAATAAATAAAGAAGACATCCCAATATTTATTTTTTCCGCATATTTAGCAACTTTCCGCATATTTCACAACTTCCCGCAATTTCACCGCATAAAATCACATAAAACCCTGCATGTTTGATCGCATAATCAAGGATTTTAGCCCGCATAATCAAGGATTTTTGCCCGCGTTTTTCTGGAGGGTCTAACAGGGCAACAAGAACGTTGTCTACAGTAGCCATGAACTCACATGTATTATCTTATTTGTTAACCCAAATTGGTTAAGGGGCCTTTGGCTTTTCTTGCCGGGGGGGGGTGCCCCCACAAATAGAATCAAATTCTGTAGGAAACACTGCATCCCCAAGCAAAACACTTTGATATCCTGTTCCATCCTATTTATACGTTTAGCCCAAAGCTGGCTGAGTTCTGCCTAGAAGCTGGCGGGTCGACACACAAAGCTAGACGAATGGACTGCCACTTGATTGCAATAAAGGTGGCCAGGCCTCATATTCATTTCGATTTCCACTATACTATAATCAATGCTTCACATAGTCTTTGAGCCATGAAATAAGACTTTAATCCAGACAAAAGAAACCAAAGAGAAATGCAGTACAAGTTCCCTGCTTTAAATTGCTTTGTTGCAATGAATAGAGGCTTCAAAAATATGAGGTGCAATCATCATTTGAACATAAGAGACATTCATAACGACCGTATATTAAACAGACTTTTGTAACAGTTTCAAAAAAAAGTTTGTCTCCTCACCAGCTCTCGATAGTTTCCATCTTCTCTGCTTTCAGGTCTTTCAAAACGCTCTTCTCGTCTCCTCTGCTGGTATGAGTCTCGGCCCCGGAAAGAGGAAGCAGCAGTGGATAAATTACTGCCCGCATTCTCTCCACCACCAAATGTCCGCGGCCCCTAACAAGACAAACAACAGAGATCAATACAGCCTCAGCGCTGCACAGAACAATAAAGCCGACACAGGAAACCAAACTTTCTAGTTGACAGTGGAGGTAGGAAGTTACTGTTAAAAGCAGTCGATGTTGAGATGAATGTCAATAAGGAGCATTCATTATCGAATGGGGGCCAAATCAAACAGTTTGTGCAGAAATTGCAATCAATGAGAGAAACAGCCAAATTAGTGAACATGGCAAAAAGAGCAGTCCCTTCTCAACATACTTTAAAGGTTATTAAAAATGTTTTGATAAACACAATTATAATATAGTTTATAGATTCATGTCCATGAAAGCTTATATATTGAGACAGAGCTAACAAATGTCAGTTACAAAATGTTGCTTTAGCTCTGTAAAATAAAAAAGTACCTTGTGGTTAACATTTCTAAGATGTGATAAAGGCCCATGATAAGGGTTTAAATACCTCTTTGGTCTTGGCTATCTCAGCAATCGCTGCTGTCCGTTGCTTTTCAAACTCATCATTCTCGTCCGGACTTTTAGCAACACTTTGAGACTTCAGGGTCTTCCTCTGATCCAGGTCTCTGGTGTCCACTTCCTCCTTCCTCTCACACCTCTACGGAGAGCAAAAAGAGGGAGTAAGAACATGAGCTCAAAGATCTTCCTCGATCATTTAGAGCTCATTAAAAAAGGATCACTGCACTTGACATGTCCACATTTTGTTGGAGTTAGAAGTATAATAAAGTCGCTTATATAAAGTCACCCATATCAAACCTCCCATTTCTAGGTAAAATCATTGAAATAGTTGTTTTTCAACAGTTGAGTAATTTCTTGCATTTAAATAACTGTTTCGATGTGTTCTAGTCAGGCTTTCGTCCAAACCACAGCACTGAGACTGCTCTTGTAAAGGTCTTTAATGACATCCAATTAAACACAGACAGTGGCAGAACTTCAGTGTTAGTATTATTAGATCTCAGTGCTGCGTTTGACACTGTTGACCACAGCATATTACTAGACCGACTGGAAAACTGGGTGGGACTTTCGGAAACAGTTCTAAATTGGTTTGAATCCTACTTAAAGGACAGAAACAACTTTGTTTCTATAGGTAAATACACATCAGAGTTGACAAATATGACATGTGGGGTTCCTCAAGGCTCCATCTTGGGGCCTCTTCTCTTTAACATCTACATGCTACCACTGGCTCAGATAATGAAAAACAACAAAATAAGTTACCATAGCTATGCAGATGACACACAAATTTACGTAACAATTTCACCAGGAGACTATGCTCCAATTCAAACACTGAGTAAGTGCATTGAACAAATCAATGACTGGATGTGTCAGAACTTTCTCCAATTAAACAAAGATAAAACTGAGGTAATGGTTTTTGGAGCCAAGTCAGAACGTATAAAAGTTAGCGCTGAGCTTCAGTCTGCAATGTTCAAAACAACAGATAAAGCCAGAAATCTAGGTGTAGTCATGGACTCTGACCTGAGTTTCAACAGTCACATTAAAACTGTTACTAAATCAGCCTACTATCACCTAAAGAATATATCTAGGATTAAAAGACTAATGTCACAGCAGGATTTGGAAAAACTTGTCCATGCTTTTATCTTCAGTAGACTCGACTACTGCAATGGTGTCTTCACAGGTCTCACTAAAAAATCTATTAGGAAGCTGCAGCTGATTCAGAACGCCGCTGCTCGAGTCCTCACTAACACTAGGAAAGTGGATCACATCACTCCTGTTCTGAAGTCTTTACACTGGCTTCCTGTGTGTCAAAGAATAGATTTCAAAATACTGCTGCTGGTTTATAAAGCACTGAATGGTTTAGGCCCAAAATACATTTCTGACCTCCTGCTAAATTATGAACCATCCAGATCTCTCAGGTCTTCAGGGACTGGTCAGCTTTCTGTCCCCAGAGTCAGAACTAAACATGGTAAAGCAGCGTTCAGTTATTATGCTCCAAATATCTCGAACAAACTCCCAGAAACCTGCAGGTCCGCTGCAACTCTGACTACTTTTAAATCCAGGCTGAAGACTTTTCTTTTTGTCGCTGCTTTTAATTGAACTATTCATATCTTAGACTGCACTGTAACTTTTATCCATGTACTTTTTCTTTTAATGTTTAATTGAACTATTCATATCTTAGACTGCACTGTAACTTTTATCCATGTATTTTTTCTTTTAATGTTTATTTTATTAGCTTTTCTTTTTAATGACTGATTTTAAATGCCATTTTCTTAATGTCTTTCATTTTTTGTAAAGCACTTTGAATTGCCTTGTGTTGAAAAGTGCTATATAAATAAACTTGCCTTGCCTTGCTTATTGTTGTAGCAACCAACTGTATCGCAAATCTCAAGGGTGCCTCTCAGCTCATGGTTAATGTTATGAATCTCAACTTTGAACTGTATTGTTTTATCAAGTGGAAGTATTGATATGATACTCAACACTTCCTGCAGCTGTCTCATGCCTGTGTGTGTGATCAGTCACAGAAGGGAGCAAGTGACTGGAGCAAAGACCAATGAAGTATTTTCACCATCTTTTTGTTGCATTAGCCATCCGAGCAGGACAAGTGATACGAGGCACGATTATAAAGCCAGGGTTGACGAAACGTGGAAAACTTGTTAAGGACTTGCAATTGATGACATGCCAAATGCATTAGGTGTACAATATATATCTTTGAAGTGGTTTTTCCCCCCCCAATAAGGCAGCGCAACGCAAGCTATACAGCAAGTTTTCAATTTCCCCAGGTTTTGAGCTCTCCACCACTGAGGCTTAATTGAGGCCCAAAAATCTTTAAAAATCTTGAAGATGGAAAAAATCTCTAGTACTCTGGGTAATTCACAGACCTTGCAGTGGGCATTTAACTTATTTTATGTTCGATAGAAAACAGTTCCCAAAGATAAATGTCTGGGAGCTCCATAGAGACGCCAGGCTTCTTGTGGGGAATCTGCATGCATAGTGATCATTAAGGTCAAGTGTGTTGATTAATAATTTGACGACTCAAACTTGCGTGCTACTTTCTTTTGATTCTCATTATAAGTATGCCTAACAAGATGTAAGGGAATCAGAATGAGGCAAAAATATTCTATTGTCTGATGGGGTATAAAATACATTGAACTCATCAGAGGGGAGAAAATGTCCAACGAAACATAGAGCCAAGGAAAATATAAGCACCAATTTGTTTTTGTAATCTGCTTCCGAGCAGGGGCAAAACCAAACAATTTGGAAGAATTTAAGGAGGTTTAATCGTTTTTGAAGGCTCTAGGAAAAGAGTATACTTGCTTATTTCACATCTCAAACTATGCATGAATCTCCATTGTTTGACAATGTGATGGAAGTGTATATTATTCAGAGATCAGTTCACTTTATTCTGTTATCTGTACTATCCTTACCTGATCAAATGCCACAAAGGGAGGGGGTCCACCTTCTGCTCCAATGTTACTCCTGCTGTGTTTGGCCAGACTCTGCAAATCATTTCAAAGTTTGAAAACAGGCTTTTAAAGCAGATTTACAATGATTTATATCATATGATTTCAACATTTATTATCAAAAGAAGCTGAGTCCTCATAACAAAATCGCCTCTCACCCTTTGTAGTTCCCATTTCTCCACCATGTGATCGACCTCTCCTCCAAGGACAGAGATTTTTGAGTCATCGAGCAGTAAAAGACCATTTTTAACCTGGACTGTGCCAAGGAGCTTTACCTTTGTTCCGGGGGGGGTATTAAGACTGAGAAAAAACAAATAAAAACAATAAATATACATGTATAAAATAATTGCTCTGTTATTAAATTGTTTAACTGACTGTTAAATGGCAAAACATTCAAGGGTCTGGGACATTATAACTGCTTATACCAGGTCCCCCATCCTATTGCCTTGCCCATACCACTTTATAAATGACATGGAGCCGTGCCAGGGGATGGGTGGCAAGGCTAGGACAGACTATTAATAATCCCAGCTGCTCACCCATCCTCATGGTAAATTAAAAGCCCCCTCTATCTCATCAGGCCTGATAAGGCCTCTGCCTCTTTCATTAAGAAAGCACAGAGACTTAGAGGGATTTCCAGCTACTGATGCCGGGTGCCAAAGCAACAATTAGGGATTTCACTCCAAACCTCTGGGATAGATGCTGTTCTCGTGATAGCGGCCAATGCAGAAGTGAGGCTCTCTCTATCCTAGATTCAATCACATACAAGCATGTATACACACACTATTTACACTTCACTCAATGTAGCAATTCACTGCTTAATCGTCATCCCTCTATATCACTGTGTCACACACTGAACGGTCCTGTAATCCATCTCATCCTTCTTTGCCCCACACTTATGGCCTCACGCAAACTGAAGCGGACACTTTCATAAGAAACACTAGGCACCGCTGTTGGCAGCCAGTGCGCGTGTGCCGCTCATAAAGAGGGGATTTGTTCTGTTCTCTCCTCGCTTCCCATCAGGAAGTCAAAGCCCACATTCTGGCCACTCCACCTGTACAGACTGGCTAGTCACCATGGCAGCAGTCACCAAGGCCACCGTTGCTGGGATGGAGATGTAATTAAGGCTGGAAATGGTTAGATAGCTGCCAGCATGTGGAAATTGCAGATAGATGGAAAATTGAGCAGGGTGAGTGTTCACAAGGAGGTGAAAAGGAAGGGTGAGGGCAACGTCTTACACATTTGCTTTGAAATATATGATGAACTGGCTTAATGACAGCCTCCTTTGCTACTAAAAATGTGTTTTTATTTACAATTTGTTCTCCTAATACCTAATGCCAGTGATTGCACTAACTTAACATATTCCTAAACACAACACTTATATGGGTACCTGATTTTAGACAGGTGTTTAAACTCCAATCCAACACAGATGGTGTGCCCATCTGTCATTTGTAGACGCAGCATTCGCGGCGCGCCCTGGGACTCCTCGCGGTCTTTAGGAGCCGAGACATTCCTCACCTTCTGCACCTGAAGAACACATGGACCTTCCAACTGGCCATGTGCAAGAGACAGCAAATTAATTATGGCTTAAAAAAGGCAAAAACAGCAGATTGTGCCAGCATAGAACTCTGAAGCCATTGAGTTTTTGCTCTCTTTATGTAGCATACCTGTATCAGAAAAGGTATATTCCTGCTCATAGTCATAGCTACATTTTTGAATAGATTCAGATTCAAATTCTCTCAAAAAATGGTTTTAGTATTTCCGTGAAAATATGACTAACACCTGTTAATGCAATCCACAGGCTTTACTATAATCTGTATGTGTAATGTAATTATAGTTGCTCGGATGGCACTCTCTGTTAGAGATACAATGTACGAGGAAATGGGTATGACCAGAGTGACAAGCATCATGTAAAGATGTCTGAATGGAGCACGGGTTATGCCCACATAGAATGATGATTTAATATTCTGACAATGTTTTTAAATGTCAGTTTCAGTTGCTCAACCCCCGTTTTAAGCAGTTCAAGCAGTTTTTGGATGTTTCTTTGTCAGTGTGTCAGGGCCATCTAGTGGCTCTCATGAGAACTACATGTCAGCAGGAACTACAGCCTGCACTGACTGAGCTGAAAAAACCATAGTAGCACTTTATTTCCCAGAAACATATCATAAATATCACTTTGTACTGGCTGTATAATAGTTTGTGTAGCACTCACCTTCTCAATTCTTCCACTATTGATGTCTGGTGGTATACATTTTCTCCCAATAGGCCTGAGGTCACTCTGCAAATGAGACACTGCTTAATTGAAAATAACAAATACGGTGCCAAAAGTATAACAAACAAATAATGGAATAGATATATGCATCTAAAAATGTGACTATCTACACTGTAGTGTGCTTCAGAGAAAAACTAATTGTATTAATTTGCCTGTTAGAAAGAAAGGAAGCCTTTCACCTACCCTCAACCCCAGAAACAACCATCAAGTTCTCATGCTTTTCTGCTATAAGGCATATATGTAGTTCTCAAACTATGCAGTTTATATTATATGGTGTAAAATATGTTGTCATTTTGATTTTCATAGTTTATTAAGCACAATCTAATTTAAATAATTTACATTTGTGGTTTACTGTAGATTTAACAGTTATATATTTTCAAAGAATCTCATAACTCTTTTGATACAAACATAAAGGTCAATTGTTTTCTAATGATCTCCATACTGCAAACATCTGTTGAATCAGAGCTGTTGGCTGCAACGAGGCAGTAATCCCAAGAGGGTCTATGACCTACTCCTGTTTTACTGCGGCAACAATATCTCTAAGCAGAGGGCTTTTATATCCCCAGTAAAACAAAAAAAGGAATTGATTCTTTATATTGAAGTTGGAATGAATTTCTCTAAAACACAATTATTTCAAAAGACTGCATCAAGGCTCCAAACAGGGTAGAGAAAATGGGGGAAATCAGGGTTCTGTGATAAAAGACTAAAGCGAGTAAAGCAGCTAATGATCCAAATTAATCCTAAAATTATGTTAAAGACTTCACTGAAGTACAAGGTCCAGAATTAAGTTGCTAAATGTTGGTTGGTTTAGGTGTGCTGTGATAAGTAAAAATGTTTTTTGCAGCATCTGGTCAAAACATAAAAGGTCACGGCTTTTGTAGTAAATTAAACTATTGTGTGTTAAGGAATTGTCCGCTGTTGCAAGTCAGGTAAGAAGTTTCACTGTGTGTCAATGCGTTCACACCTGCCTTGTATAGTCCGGTTGAATCGAACCCTGGTGCGTTTAGCCGCTTGGTGCGGTTCATTTGGGTCGGTGTGAACACAATCCGAGACCTCTGGACTCTGGTCCACTAAAATAGGTGGTCTCAGAGCGCTTGCTTGCGAACTATGGAGCAGTTAATTGCTGGTGTGAACGCAGTCCGCACCAAAACATAGGAAGCGTAGTATTTACGTGTCACAAGAACGCGGATATCTTCAAAATCTTCAGCGAAAGAGTCTTTCAAGACATCCGCGGTTGTTTAGTTAAAGAGTGAAGCAGAATGAAGTGTTGAACAGTGTCGTGTAAAGTAAAAATGCTCCGTCAGCTACATAAAAGTAAGAACACATGTCGTCGGTGAAACGCCCTCCTTACTGCAGAACGTCATGTGTTAAAATGTTTTTTAACGGACGTTGTCTGATTATATAATCATATGCGCGGGCCGCTAGTGTCTGTTGATCTCCAGATTAACAGCAGCATGAGAATAACCTGCCGAAAGTGCTGATGGTCCATGGCGGAGGCTCCGGTAGAAATTGCCGGGATTTGCGTTTTTACCCCCTTAATGTCTCACCAATGGTTGAACTGCATTTCCGTGCAAATGACTTGTGTTTAAAGTAGGGCTGTCAGTCGATTAAAATATTTAAATCGCGATTAATCGCATGATTGTCCATAGTTAATCGCGATTAATCGCACATTTTTTATCTGTTCTAAATGTACCTTAGAGGAATATTTTTCAAGTTTGTAATACTCTTATCAACATATGAGTGGACAAATATGCTTTATGCTAATGTTTATTATCATTTGAACAATGACAAATATTCTCAGGAATATTAAACACAACAACCTCTGAACATTACAAATATTCGCCTCAATTCAACCTGGAACCTCTCTCATACAATAATACAATACAAATGGTGTGTGTGTGTGTGTGTGTGTGCGTGCGTGCGTGTGTGTGTGATGGATCGTTGGAGCTATGTGCAACTCAAGGCATATGCTCGAACCGGAGCTGCCTGGACGCTGTAATCATGTTGCGCACTATCCGTGCTGAGTGTGCTGACTTTTCGTACAATGTCCCACTGTCTGGCTTCCTGCATAAAGTCAAGTGCTCGGCGCAGTTGTGGCGAAATGTCGCTCCTCTGTTTTCATTTAAACAGCTCCATATCCGTTAGCGCAGCTAGCTAGCACCAGATGCTAACAACAACAATGCACGTAAGGTCTCTCTCTCGCTCGCTCGGGCCACACATACACACACCCTCCCGGTCCTCCCAACAGCCAGTCGGTGCCTGCCGGTGAGCGTGGAAGTGTGGTCTGCTGCAAGCAGGCAGCAGGAGCGGGGCTGTCAGCATCAGCTTGTAGATGGTACTTTATAGTGATGGCAAAATGAAGCTTTGAATGAAGCGTCGAACCACTTGGACAATTGTGTCGGAAATAGGTTCATTTCTCGAAGCTTCAGTTACAGCGACCTCTCCTGGCGAAGTGCAAGGCTGCAGTGGGTTTAACGTATCTTTGCCTTGAAAAATATTCGATGCACACACACACACAAAGACTGAATATCATGTTCTATTTGCAATTAAAGATTGATAATTGTGTGTATTGGGTTATTGAGAAGAGACTAGAGAGTGCTAGACATGTTTTTGGGCAGAGAGGGCCTTTTATCAGTTAGGCTATTAAAGTTGAAAAGCAATGATTAAAATACGTCCATTCCGGGATTTGAACCAGCTGCGCGGAGGACATCGCCGCATTCGGGCTGCCGGCTCTATCCACTGGGCTATCTATTCCTTGAAATATTTAACTGTTTTCATATTACTGATAATTGTCTTTTTGTTCACAACTTCTCCACATTTCCAAGTGTTTCCCGAGCCAGAACGACCTATCTTACTTCCTGGCTTGCTCTATAATGATATCAAATACAATAACAACAACAACTCAACAGCAACAACGCAAACTACGACAACAACTCACACATTGTGCATTGTTTAGAGCGGTCATAAAGTGTTGAAGCACTCAAGTTTGAAACTGTTTCAACCTGTCAGAATCGAGACGAGGCAGAGCATTGAATCGCGTGAATGGACCGTGAACCAGTCAAGTGATTCATTCAGGAAATGAAGCAGTTGCTGCTTCGGACGTCACATGTCACGTGATTTGAAGCAGTTGCTGCTTCGGACGTCATATGTCACGTGATTTGAAGCAAGCTTCGAAGCACTGCTTCTATGGAATAGGAAGTCCAGGGTTGAAGCTCCGTTCGAAGCTTCAGTGTCAAACTGCCATCACTAGTATTTTAAACTCGATGCGCTCTGAAACTACGGGGCGGCCGAGGAAAAAAAATACACATGCGTTTATCGCGTTAAAATAATTAGTGGCGTTAATTATTTTTTGCGTTAACGCGTTATTAACGCGTTAACTTGACAGCCCTAGTTTAAAGTTTATAGTCCGTTTGAGTTTTGCCAGTGTGAACGCAAACCGAACCTTCTGAAAAATGAAACAATGTAACAAACTGTGGTCTGGTGCGCACCAGAAAACGGACTATTAGGTGTGAATGCACCCCAGAAAAGCTTTTCAAGTTCCAAGGCCGTTTGTGGTTCTTCTGTCTTTGTTACCGGTCTTCATGCATTGCTTAGTGAATTTTTCTGTCTACTCTTTCAATTTAAAATATATGTTTTGAATCATTTTTGGGCCCCATGTTCTTTTCCGATATCGTGTTATGACAGTGGACAAGTGCCTGAAATGAACTGGCAGATGCTGGGTCTGCCAATAAAAGGTTATTCTAAGATAGCAATAAGCCCAATAATATGCTTTTTAATTCACTTACAAAATATAAAATATACTGAACAACATTCACTCAAAAGAAAGAATTTACAATTGTGTGCTTCTAGCTTTGTCTGTTCAACTAGCATGGTTATTTGGTGAGTACATCAGTATGTGCTTTAGAAACAATGGCCTCATGAAATCAAATGTAATAATTATAATAATTATTGTGAGAACACATTGTTGAATACTGTTTTGCATACTGTTAAATACATACTAAGCAATTGCAGTTGAAATAAGTTGCATATGTAGAACTTGCAAAATTAAACTTACATTAAGTGCAATACGAATAATGTCATTGGGAGTTATTTTCTGTGCAGATCCTTTCAGTTCGGCTATGCCTTCATCGCTGAGGTACCTGTGAGACAACAGACAAGGTGGAGAGCAGAGATGATACAGTTATTTCCACAGGTAGGTGAGTTTGCCCAACCACAATATCATTGTAAGAGACACAAATACCATTGCCATCATAATCACAAGTTATCTGCTACTGTATATCTGCTGTAATGTTAGACAATTAAGGGCACGTTTGAACATCTTCGATATTTGACAAATGTGTTTCACCAAGTGGTAAGGCTTAATAATGTGGCTATGATTGTTAAAGGCGGGAACCAGGTCCTCAACCTCTCACATCAGAACATATTTTTTGCTGAATCTGCCCCCTTAAAAAATATTCTGATGTCCTATCATTTCGAAGGCGCATCTATAAAATATTGAATTGCAATATTTGGGAAAGAGTGCAACACATCAGTAGGGACCATACCATTTACAAAACCACACAAGTATAGGAGGGTAAATGTTAATATGATGTCGTTTAAAGGCAGCGATAATCTAAAATATTCAGCACACATATTAATGAGATATAAACAATGTCAAGTTACAGAAACCAGGCGTTTTCTGACTTTCAAAATCGTTGCAAGTGTTTTAATTTAGCTGAATCCAGCGCTATTTGACCACTGTATCACTGCTTATCGGTTAACACAAAGTGTAGAGTCATAGGTGTTCGTTACTATAATGGCAAGCTAATTGTGTATTAGCTTTAATGGTATATCAAGCTAACGTTATTTATCTCGCTAGCTCGAAGTTAGATAGCCGTATAAGTAATAGCGTTGCCACGATCCACACAGACTGAATTGGTCGTGTTTACTTTGGAAACCGTTGTGCTTTCGCAAAATTATAAAGTCAATGTATAGCTAATAATGATTAGTGTTGCAAGCCAACACCAATCTGGCACCACATTGAGTTAGCTAGCTCACTGACGTTAGCTACAATGCTACCTACCAGCCCTCTTTGGTCAGGGACTCTGTGACATCAGTCATTTTCGTCCACAGTGTAGATGTGTAAATACCGACACCAATAAGTTATAAGTGAGCACACTTAAATAACGACTATCTGATTCGGTAATACATGTTCTTCAGCTAACAATGATAACGCCTGCTAATGTGAACGACTCTACGTAACTAGCGTCATCCAGTGTTCATGTATGGAGTGCCGTGGGGGTCAAAATACGTTTTAACATTTTCTTCTCTTATGGATAGTTTTTTCTTTATAACCTAACCTTTTCTTACTGGAATCATTTTTAAACTAATGACAACATTAGTAAGGTGACTGTCCTCCTAATATGCAATATTATCTCATACAGTAGGATCCTGCCAAAATAGAAATACCTGCTTATTCAATACGTTTAACTGCCTTTACAAATAAGCAACACAATATCTTAAATAATTGTAGGCAGGCTTACATTTCCCTCTGTATTTCTCTTTTCGTTTGTATTGTATTATATGTAAACCAATACAAAAAGAAAGGGCCACTAGTATAAGTCAGACAGGGACCCTGACACTTAACATCTCATGTCTGCCTTAAGGAACGTAACATATTAGCTCAAATATTTGAAAGCATTAAACATACATCCATTTTAGAACGCCTAGTCAGTCTGAAAGCACAACTGTGTCACATTATTTGGGGACACATGGCAAGGTGTAGTATAAGCAGTACTCGAGTTGAGGGGGGATGAGGGGGGATAATTAATTTCAAGGACCGCCTACTTCCATCTACGTAACATTGCAAAAATCAGGCATATCTTGCCTCAAAACGATGCAGAGAAACTAGTCCATGCATTTGTTACTTCAAGACTGGATTATTGTAACTCTTTATTATCAGGGTGTACCAAGAAGTCAGTCAAGTCGCTTCAGCTGATTCAAAATGCTGCAGCTCGTGTACTAACCAGAGTTAGGAAAAGGGACCACATTACTCCTGTTCTGGCTGCCTTACACTGGCTCCCTATAGAACACAGGATATCATTTAAAATTCTTCTTCTCGCCTACAAAGCCCTTAATGGGCAGGCGCCATTTTACCTTAAAGAACTCATTATACCCTACTGTCCTACTAGGGCATTGCGTTCCAAGAATGCAGGGTTGTTGGTTGTTCCTAGAGTCTCTAAAAGTACAATGGGAGCCAGAGCCTTTTCTTATCAAGCTCCACATTTGTGGAATCAGCTTCCAGTTTGTGTTCGGGCGGCAGACACCCTATCCGTTTTTAAGAGTGCGCTTAAGACCTTCCTTTTTGATAAAGCTTATAGTTAGGGCTGATTAGATTCAGCCCCTAGTTTTGCTGATATAGGCTTAGTTTGTTGGGGGACATCTTACTTCTTCCTTCTCTCTGTCTATACTTGTGTACTCTCATGTTCCGATTAACCCAGCTTCCCCAAATTTCTTTCTTTTTGGTGTCTATATACGCCGGGATCCGGAGTCATGGATGATCCTGCGCTCCTCTGTCCTGGATCGCGAGCCCTGGAACTTGAGTCGTGGCTGTGGTCCTGGATCATAGGTCCTGGATGGATATCCTCGTGGATTCATCTTCCTATTATACACACATGCATTTCCAAACATTTGGACTACCTATGTTGCAAATGTATTATCTTTTCAATTTACACACGGCATCTATTGCACGTCTGTCCGTCCTGGGAGAGGGATCCCTCCTCTGTTGCTCTCCCTGAGGTTTCTCCCATTTTCCCCTTTAAACTGTGGGTTTTCTTCGGAAGTTTTTCCTTGTACGATGTGAGGGTCTAAGGACAGAGGGTGTCGTATTGTCATACTGATATTTTGTACAAACTGTAAAGTCCACTGAGACAAATGTAACATTTGTGATATTGGGCTATATAAATAAACATTGATTGATTGATTGATTGATAGCATCCCCCCTGAAATAAAAACGGTCAAAATCATCCCCCTTCTAAAACTGCCATTCCCCCTTTCCATCCCGTATGTCATTTTATCAATGAACGTGGCACTGGTATTACTGCTATTTCAACATTAATTTTGCGCATTTTGAGTAAAATACTGTGGGCGAGGGAGCACCCACACACGCAATGAAATGTTTACCAAGTCACTGACGCTATACTATGCGAGTGCCCTAGAGGGCGCCAGAGCGCCGTGATGCGCCTGTTTGATTGATGCCAGAAGCGCAGGTAACGGTCATCACCATGGCCAAGCAACCAGGAGGACAACGCGATCTGAAGGACTTCATATTTAAAAATACTAAAAATAACATTCAGGTAAGTCAAGAGTCAGTAATCTTAGTCATTACTCATTACTTTAGTCACCAAAGGTGGAATCTATGGACATAAGCAGCAATAACAACTTAGTTAGGAGTTTAGCTACGTTTTTCTCTCGTGTTAGCTAGCTGGTAAGACTCAAAACGGTTGATGAAATGATACCACCAGCACCAGAAGAGCTGAAACCCCTCCTTCAAGCAGTGAACACTCTGGTCATCTCCACAGCTGAGTGTGAACGTGGGTTTAGTCAGATGAACATTTTAACCACAACCAGAAGCTCCCTAGAGGTAAAAAGCATGTCAGCCTTGCTTTTCATCAAGTGTGTTGGCCCTCCACTGAACAAGTTCAGACCAGAGGTATGTCAAGACTTGGCTTCAAAGCCATTGCTTAGCTAACAATCCGAAAGCAAGAGCCAGAAAAATTGAGACCAAAAACCATGATTATGAAAATCTTTGGAAACGTATATGAGATGGGGGAGAGTGGAGTAGGCAGCCATTGACAACATTGGTCCTATTTTGTATTATCTGTATAATCTTTTAATATATTTTCATATTTTGTAAACAATTTCAATTTGCTCTTAATGCCCTGTTAAAAAAAGTAACAATGGGAATGTTAACATAAAATATTTGTATTTGAACTGCAATAAAATGATGACGGATCAATATTTTTCAATTTTTTTTCCTCACATTTTTTATGAAGTGTTTAATTTACATAATGATTTAACAAATGTAACCCTTTAGATACCAGTTTTGATCGTATACCAGTAACTGCTTTTTTGAAAAAATACACTATAATTCAATATTCTAAAAACTATTTTGACTTTATTATTAGTATAATCAGTTGGTCCATCTGAATAATAAATGAGGGACTGTTAACCTACAAGATTTGTACCATAGACTTCCATTATAACCACATTTGTGTATCCCCTCCCCCCCTTTAAATTAAAGTGAAAAAAAGATTTTGCACTAATTGTCCTCTGCATTTGACCCTAAATGTTAGTGGTGCCATGGCAGCCCTGGGACCGACTCTAATTCTGAGGTGCCTTGGTCAAGAGCAATGAAAGGAGTATCTGAACATCCATAACATGCATGTTGTTTTAGGAGTATAATAATTATCTTTATGCTGGTTGGTCTCCCACCCTCGGCGGGTTATCAGCACAAATGATGTCCCCATATGATCAAATCCACCATCCCCCCTGATTTTTTTTTACAACTTGAGTACTGAGTATAAGTATTACTATTTAGACTAGTCAAATAAAACCCAGGATTCTGATTATACAATTGTAGTTGGGACCACTGGATGGCAGTGTATGCACACTGAATTGTTGAGACAGAAACTTCTTTCCCACCGCACAGGTTTTACAAGATGTTCTTCTTTCTTCTTCTGTCATATGGAACAGCTGATTAATAATTGCTATCAAAAAGAGTATTCAACGTTGTTTCATTGCAACCATTGCATACAACTTTAGACTTGTGGTTGCTATTAGTAGAACTACTGAATTAAAATGTAAATGTTGTTGTAAAGCAAACAGACTAATGACTGGTTGTATAAATACTTAAACATGTAAGGTCAGTTTTAAAAAAACCTATGCACAAAAGAAACATTCACAATGTGATGTGATCTTTATTTAAACAATCTGTACTTTACTTGTATTTGTAATTGTGTATGTTATGAACATATTGTCTTGAAATACTCATTCTTATAAAGCACACAATAATCAATTATGAAAAAACAACATTCAAGCTCAAGGCGATGGATTTTCTGTTTATTCAAATAACAAAGATCAATTTTATTATCAATACACAAACATTTACATTTGTATTATTTTTGCCTCTGGATTTGTATCCCCATGGCATTTCTTTGAGTGATTTGGAAGGATAGATCTCTTGTTGTCTGGAAGGATTAGCAAGGCACGATGCCACAAGGCATGTCTTTGGCTGGAAGAATAGCGTTAACACACTGCAGGCAGCCATCCAGGGACTCAAGGAATAAAGGTCTTGAAAGATAGGAAGATTTCAAGAGGTTGAAGTCAAAGAAAAAAAAATTAGATTTTATAACTTAATTTTTTATTTAATAGTGACATTTGACTTCAAACTATAGAACACACAAAGCATATGTTTTATTTATTCTAAATGTACATGCCAGTTTTCTGTATTATGTCAGTTTACCCATTGGTGAGAATGTGTCCCAGTCAATCGCATATTTACATATTTATTATATGCTAATTGTGGAAGCATAATTAAACTGAATCACAGCTCCGCCTCTAAAAAAAATGAATGTTCAAAATATAACAGAGTGAATGACAGCTAAAAGGCTGTTCTTTTGAGAGACTTTTAATCAAACATAGTTTACAGTGTGACTGTCAGTAGAGTACACATGTCTAATTATAATTTGAATCCAGTGCTGAGGTCTTAAGAAGGATTGGCAAGCCTCTAGCTGTCTGGAAGCACAAAGGCAGTGTAAAGGTTTACTACTTGTGACATTTTATCCTATTAACATCATTAGGCTATTATTGTCTTCAGGAAGACATTTCTGCATGATTAAGCATAACTGCTTAATGACAACATCAACTGAATATGAGCTTACAAAAAACACCCACCAAGAGCAATCACTGATGTCCTTTTCCACACAATTCATATTTTCTCTAATTTCTCTAATTTGTGAGCTTTAATAACAGATACAGAACCGATTGACACAGATGTTCCTTATTGGCTTTACATTGAAACATGCTTAGATGCTGTGTGTGTTGAGGGAGATTTTCACTGTTTGAGTAGAGCACATGAGAAGGTTCTCACAAAAGTGTCTGTTTGTTGCATCACATCACATCATTGCTGTTTGCATCAGACAAGGTATTTGGGATATGGCTTGAGGCTAACTTTAAAATGGCCAAACACAGAACAACAGCATCAGTGTAACGTGTTTTCAGCATA